ATATGCATATTGGTTGTGCCACTACTGTTCAAATGCTGGAGACACAAAGGGCCTGAGTTCCTGCCCTTGGGGAGTTCATGCTTTAGTCCAGAAAGGTAGACAATAAACATGTAAATAAATATGTAGGATAATTTCAGACCATAGTATGTGCTGTGCAAAAAATAATACAGGGTAATGTTGTCAACTTAAAAAAATGCACAACATGAGAATTGTGAGTCAAGTTTTACTTGGGAGCAAAATGAGGACTATACGATAGCCCTGAGAAACTGCTCCTAAAAGGTAGGGGGGAAGGTCACTATATACATGATTTTGGTGAAGAGGGAGTTCATACAATATTTTTTTGCAGAAGTTTTCTTCTAGTCATGAGGAGCAGTCATCACCATGAGGAATTTTAGCACTTTTCTACACATGAGGAGATACAATAACTGAGCTCATAAAATCAGCTCCTGAAAATATCTATCCAAAGAACTGTTCTGCCAGTTTTTCCCAGAGCACAGAGTGCCTCATTTCTGCTCTCCATCCTGAGCTCCTTTCAGGAGGTATTGAAAATCAGCAGCTGTGGTAGCACATGATTTAATCCTTATAGAGGGAGATGGCAAAGGCCACTTTGCAGTTGACAGTGTGTTGAAAGTGACTCTGAGGAGTAGCATTTGAGACCCAAATGACACCTGTGGAGACTTGGAAGAAGGACAGTCCTGGTGCAGAGGAGGCCCTCAACTGGTATGCAGAATTATCACTATTGCTAATAATATCTTGAGGCACAACAGCAAGTCAGGGAGCACTAAATCATCACCTACTGTTTGTGCAATGTCACTTCTCAAAAGGTGTTTCCCTAATTGAGCTAAGCTCCTGGTCAGTGTATTTCCCTGGGTTTGACCACAGACGTCTCTAGGTCCCCCATGGTGTCCCCAGTGCTTCAGGGGAACTTTATATCCAGGACATGACTGTTTCAACAGGCAATACTGTAAAACTATTCTTCTTCCCTAGAATCATGTTCTTTCCAAAACTCTGGGTTGCAGCTGGCAGAAATGATGGCTGATGGGTAACCAGCAAGACAGGGAGCCTCTCCCCCACTCACCTGTTCATTCAGTATATGACCCCCGGCTTCCGTACTCTGCAGGGCTTTTGTATTTGAGCAAACAACTGAGTCTGCTGACCACAATGAACTACTGGAGGTGGAATGAAGGAATAAAGTAGACTCATTAAGAGGGAATTCCTCTACCAATACCTACTAAAATGAGGGTGTAATGCTGTTTACACAGCTTACAGCTTGGGGGCACTCCCTCCCTAGGATTCTGGGAGAAACACACTGACTTTGGTAGAGGTCCAGTTGGATTGGGCTACTGAGATGGCACAGTGGTAAAGAATCTGACTGCCAATGCAGGAGATGCAGGTTCAATCCCTGGGTCAGGAAGATTCCCTGGAGAATGAAATGGCAATCCACTCCAGTATTCTTGCCTGAGGTAAAAATCCCATAAACCAAGAAGTCTGGTGGGCTACCCCTCATGGGGCTGCAGAGTTGGACACAACTAAACAAAAATAACAGTTGGATCCAGGGCCTTCAGTTATGTCCCTGGTAGGATACTCCTGGGAGTGGGGATTGGAGACTGTGATGACAGAAGTCCAATACCACCTAAGTCTCATCTGAGTCTGTGGCCAGGCAGGGGTGGTACTGGTATTAGACTGTTTTGTGTCTCAAACTCCCATCCTCTGAGCCCTCAGCCCCCTCTCCATGATCTTTTCTATCTCCCCTACAATAGCCAAACATCAGTGGAGTTCTCTCCCTTGATCAAAAACCATCTCCAGATACCTTTGTTCACAGTAAGGTACAAATGATGGCAGAGTCTTTCAACAAGAATTCAAGCAGCATCTTGTGTGTTCAGGATGACCAGTGTGTTTGCCTATATTGTTTCCCCAATGGAAGCATTACCTGCTCTGAGGGTGGAGCCCACAGGTGTTGCTATGAACTCTGGGAAGATGCTGGAACACTGCTCCACCTGTGCAGAGACTCTGAGAAGACAGCCCCTCTGAGCCCCCCAGCTGGCGTCAACAATGCTGGTGGCTGAAAGGGTGACCAGGGGTCTCCTCAAGGGTGAAGGAGAGAAAGAAGAGCAAGGACAGAGAGTGAAAGAGAAAGAAAGCGGGGATGAAGCGAGAGAGGCAAGGAGGTGGGAAGAGGAGGTAGCATTTAGGCTCAAAGCAACCCAATCAGAGGTCCCCGGGTGATGGCTGATTTTATGCATCAATTTGTCTAGGTCATAAGGGACCCAGATATTTGGTTAACCATTATTTCTGGATGTCTGTGAGGGTATTTCTGGATGCAATTAGTACTTTAATCTGCAGACTGAGTAAACAGATCACACCCTCTCCAAAGTGGGTGGGTAGCATCTAATCCATCAAGGGCCTGAATAGAACAAAAAGGTGGAGGAAAGAGGAATTTCTGTCCCTCTCTTTCTGTCCCTCTCTCTCTCTCTGCCTCTCTCCTTCTCCCTCGCCCTCTGCCTGACCACTTGATCTGAGTTTTTTCCTGCACTCAAACTAGAACTTAACCTTTGGCTCTCCTGGTTCTCAGGCCTTTGAATTCAGACTACAATCAAATCACTAGCATTTTTCATGTCTCCAGCTGGCTGGCTGCAGACCATGGGCCTTCTTGGTTTCCATAACTGCCTGAGCCAATTCCTTATAATCCAGATAGGTCGACAGACAGATGGATAGATGATTTCCTATTGGTGCTGTTCCCCTGGAGAGTCCTGGTTAATTCACCCAATCACCCACTCTCGACTGTCTCCAAGCAGTTACTCTGTCACAAGACCTCATTTATTTCCTTCACAGCACTTATCACTACCTGAAATTACTGTTTTGTTTACTTGTTTGTTTTCTGTTTCACCCATAAGAATATGAGGCCCAAGCCAGCAAGAGCTCTGTCTTCATCATGAAAGGCACGCCCACAGCGCCTAGGCTAGAACACTTAGCAAGCACTCAGGAATTCTCTGTGGAGGCAAAGACTTAAGACAGCTTCCATATACATGTGTTAATATATGGTATTTGTTTTTCTCTTTCTGACTTACTTCACTCTGTATGACAGAGTTTACGTTCATCCACATACAAATGACCCAATGTTGTTCCTTTTTATGGCTGAGTAATATTCCATCGTAGGTCCTGATGAGCCTATTTTCAGGGCAGGAATAGAGATGCAGAAGTAAAGCATGGACTTGTGGACACAGAGGGGGAAGGAGAGGGTGGGATGAACTGAGAGAGTAGCATCGACATATATACACACCATGTGTGACATATATACACTACTATCATCAGGGCTCTGTGATGACCTAGAGGGATGGAATGGGGGTGCGGGTGGGAGGAAAGCTCAATAGGGCGAGGAGATATGTATCAGTTAGTCAGTTCAGTCGTTCAGTTGTGTCCGATTCTTTGCGACCCCATAGACTACAGCACGCCAGGTGTCCCTGTCCGTCACCAACTCCTAGAGCTTGTTCAAACTCATGTCCATTGAGTTGGTGATATGTATACACATAGCTGATTCATGTTGCTGTACAGCAGAAAACTACACAACATTGTAAAGCAAGTATACTCCAATTAAAAAAAAATAAATGTCATTAAAAACCAAAAGTGAAAAAAAAATTCAAGGGGAGCAACAGAGAAAGAAACATAAGGAATATATTATAGGAAACAATGGAGAGATGATTCCCAGAAATATCCCAGGAGCTTCTCACCAGTCCCCTGTCTAAGTGCCAGTCCCCAGCAAGGTCCGATGATGCTAACACGCATCACCTTGCATCAACCTGCCGGGCAAATGACATTGTTTCATACCATCTCTGAATCACAGCACTGCATTCCACATCCTGGAAAACACTGCCTGTCACAGCCTATGCTCCAAAGAAATGTCACACACACCCTAAGGCCACTGATGTAGGTTTTTCAGAAGCCAAGTCCCAGGGCTTTTTTTTTTTTTTTTTTTTTTTTTGGTGTTTTTTTTTTAACATTTTGTTGGTCCAAGGTAACCTGCTTTTTGGAATCCTGGCCTCCAGGAAAGTTTATTTCAAGTTCTGGAGATGACAAGTCTGGAATGGTGCTGGCACAGAATGAACAGGTGATATTCAGCGGAGGTGGGACTCACGGTTGGGGGAGGTGTCAGGGCAAGTGGAAACCACCTGGCTGTACTTTAGAGGGAAGACTCTCAGCAGAGGCCATCGCAAAGGTATGAATTGGCTGTCCTTCCTTTATGAATCAGAGGAGGATATGACAACCCACTCCAGTATTCTTCCCTAAGAAATCCCATAGACAGTGGAGGCTGGTGGGCTACAGTCCACAGGGACACAAAGAGTTGACACCACCAAGTGTCTAAACAACAACAGCAATCTCAGGATAACCATGAGGGTTTGAGTTCTGTCGACAAAGTTTTCCTGACCCACTCAAAAACACCGAATGACAAGCACCCTTTGTCCAGGTCTTAGCTTTTTCCTCAGTGCCACTTTAGCCAGACATGGGTTGTTCTCTGCATAACATCTCAAGGTGGCCGAAACCTATTTCAGGAACAGAAATCCTGCTCCCAGGACTTGAATTCCAGTCCCCACCATCTGGGCTGCTGCCTCTGAGGATGAAGGAGAGGCTGCCTGGTCTCCCAGTCCAAGTAGGAAAACTGGATAGGACAAAGTCATCTTTGCAGGTCAGGCCTTCCAGTCTTCACATCCCCTATGTGATTCTCAGCTGTCAGCTCCAAAGCCTGACTCAGCCGTCTTCGCCCGGCACACACATCTCAAGCCACGAGGCAGGCTCTTCTCTGGGAATCCTTCCTCGGCTCCTCCACTCTATGGATTCCAAACTCCGAGATCGGAGGTCTCACCAGATGCACCCAGGGGCAGGCTCGGAGCATGCGCTCCTCTGGTCACTGATGGTCAGTTCTCCTCCCTTTCAGCATTTCCCTCTCTTCTCGGAGGGGAGCCACCGGCTGGGGATCAGGAGAGTGAGGAAGGGTTGGGGGTGGCTCAGTCATCCTCATCCTCGTCTTCGTCCTCGGTGTCCTTGTTAGGGGCACACCTCTGGAAGCACTGCACCACGGTGGCCAGAAAGAAGCTGGAGATGATGGCAGCGATGGACACGGCCACACCGGAGAAGATGATGACAAACAGGTCTGTGAGCGAGAGGCTGAACTTGCACTCGCTGAAGCTGGCCTCCGACAGCTCGTGCAGGAATATCCTCCTGTTCTCCATGGGCAGGGAGCACTGGATTTCATCCAGGCCTGTGAAAAAGGCAGGCAGAATGAGAGAGGTTTAGGCTGTGTCTCAGGATGGCCCAAAAGTCAGCAAGGTGAGTGTGGACCAAGTGCAAAGGGCGCATCACCCAAACACAAAAGGGGGACAAAGTGGACTTGAATGCAATTTAGACTGTTTCAAAAGGCCTCACAGTAATCACATGGTAGAATCCAGAATGTGCTGGTCTTCCCTGACCCGCTTCAAGACAGGGGTCCCCAACATCCTGGTCACGGACATGTACCTCCTATCAGATCAGCAGCAACATCAGATTAGAAGTGAAGTGCACAATGAATATAATGCACTTGAATCATCCCCAAACCATCCATCCATCCCTCTGCCCACCCCGCTCATCAGCCCATGGAAAAATTAGTCTTCCATGAAATCAGGCCCTAGCGCCAAAAGGTTGGGAACCACCGCTTTAAGGCATGGCACTCTTGATTTTGAATCACTAAGAGTGGTTGATGGAAGGGAATATCACCTTTTTAGGGTTTAGAAGCTCAGTAAACCCTAATCCAGACCTGATAATACCCAGCCTTGTGGGTGGGCAGAGGGTGGGGCAGAGGCAGTGGGATGTATAGGGCCAGTACCAACCAATGATGGCACACTTCAGTTTGTAGGGTAGCTTTCCAAGGGGAATGCCAGCCTCCTTTTCACTGCTACCCAGGTGAAACTGAACAAAGAATCAGTGTAGCATCATAGAGACTCCAATCACTACCCTAGAAGAGTAGTGGGGAAAATAAGCCTACATCCAAAGGTGACCTTCAGTATATAGTTAGGAAGCTGGCATGAAGTTCCTGTGTGCTTCAGAAGCACCTGAAGACTATACTGAAATTCAGATTCTCAGGCTCCACCTCTTGGAGAATCCAATTCAGCAGGTTTGGAGTGGGACCCTAGGCTCTGCATTTTTAATAACCATGAGATTCTGATGCTGCTGGTCCCCAAGGCACACTTGAGAAACATTATCTTCTAGTTGATCAGGAAGAGTGTGAGGGGTTTTGAGAGACAGTTCCTGGGACACCCACCCCACTACAACCAGAGAAGTCCTTGCAATCTCTGTTTCATATATTGGGGTTCCCTTTAAGATCTCACTTGAAAAGTGTCTTGCTAATTTAAAAAGAAGTTTCAAACCCACAGGCCCCCCAAAATATTACACCTGGATATGTGCTAAGAAAATGCTTCATCAGTTCAGTCTCTCAGTCATGTCTGACTCTTTGAGACCCCATGAACCGCAGCACACCAGTCCTCACTGTCCATCACCAACTCCCAGAGTTTACTCAAAGTCACGTCCATTCAGTCGGTGATGCCACCCAGCCATCTCATCCTCTGTTGTCCCTTTCTCCTCCCACCTTCAATCTTTCCCAGCATCAGGGTATTTTCAAATGAATCAGTTCTTCACATCAGGTGGCCAAAGTATTGGAGTTTCAGCTTCAACATCAGTCCTCCCAATGAATATTCAGGACTGATTTCCTTTAGGATGGACTGCATAGCAGCGACAATAAACGCAGTCTAGAGCTTACCATGGGCTTCCCTGGTGGCTTAGACAGTAGAGAATCCACCTGCAATGAGGGAGACCCAGGTTCTATCCCTGGGTTGGGAAGGTTCCCTGGAGAAGGAAATGGCAACCCATTCCAGTATTCTTGCCAAGAGAATTCCATGGACAGAGGAGCCTGGTGAGTTACAGTCCATGGGGTCACAAACAGCTGGACATGCCTGAGTGACTATCACACACACACACACACACACACACAAAGCTTACCATAGGCCAGGCACTGTTCTAAGCACTTCACACATAACAAATCATTTAATACTCACAACTCCATGAGAAAGGTCCTGCTATCATCCCCATTTTAAAGATGAGGAAACAGGTTCAGAAAGGTAAAGTAACTTGTCCAAAGCAGCACAGCTAGTAAGCGGCCTAACTTTAACTCAAATAATCTGCCTCCAGTAGACCTGGCCTATAGCCACTGTGTCTCCAAAAGGAACAGAAAAGGGATGTGGGGCTGGAAAGGATAGGCAAGAAGACAGGGGCCGGGGGTACAGGAAACCGATGCTGTCTTCCCATGATGGCCACCAAGAGGAATGGTGGTGACAGAAGTTGTCGGTCACCTGGGATGAGGGACACGTTCCTAGCATAATGGGTTTATGACATTTTAGATACTTCTGGAGGACTGCTCCCTCATCAGTAAACTGTTCCTCATGGGGTACCCCATCTGCCATCAAGCAAAGTGGAAGGAGAGCTAGAGAACTACAGGTTGGTGAATTTTACCGTTTCCACTTACTTGTAGGAGCCTAAAGCTGAGACTTGTCTGGGACAAAGGACCATCTTTAGAAGGGGTTGTCAGTTAAGGTCTAAAGGATGAGAAGGAACCAGCCATGGAAGAAGAGTTCAGACAGAGAAGAAGAAAGCTGGTAAAGAACTCAGGATATGGGAAAAAGTTCACCTGGGGTTGCAGAGTGAGCCAAGGGGAATTTAGCAAGAACTGGGGTAGGAGAGATGGACATGAGCTGAGCCCCTGAGAACCCGGGTCTCCAAATAAATACTATGAACAGAGGCCCACCTTCACCAGCAATCCTGTTATGGACTGGACTAAACCTCCCCACATCCCAGATTTATGTGTTGAAGCCCTAACATGACTATATTGGGACACCAGGTCCTTTAAGGTCTTTATGAAGTTAATTAAGGCTAAATGGGGTCATAAGGGTGGGGCTCTGATCAGTAGGACTGGTGTCCTTAAAAGAAGAAGAGACAGCAGAGAGCTCTCTCTTTCTGCACGTGCAAAGTCCATGTGAAGATACAGTGAGAAGGTAGCCACCTGCAAGTCAGGAAGAAAGACCTCAGCAGAAACCAACTCTGCCCACACCTTGATCTGGACTCCTAGTCTCTGGAACTGTGATAAAATAAATTTCTATTGTTTAAGCCCCCCAGTCTGTGGTATTTTGTTATGGCAACCCTAGTAGACTAATAACAATCCTCACCACACACAAATAAAAGATATAGAATTGTGTTAGTATTAAACAATAAAAATTGTTCATTACCAAGCATAATCTACACATCCTGATGGATATACAATATGAACTATATATTAATACTAAGTCAAATTATTGCCATAAATTCACAAACTTCAAATATAAGAAAATGTATAATAGTAAAATGCATGATATTAAATTAATAAAAAGGTCAGCTGTGTCTCTGATCTGGAAGAGGAGAGAAAAATAAAGTAGTAGTAACTAACATTCATACTGCACTTACTATACACAAACACTATTTTAAGTACTACATGCATATTAACTCTTAATTCTCACAACAATTATTACTACGCCCATTTTACAGATGAGAAAACTGAAGCACAGAGAATCCATATAGCTTGCTTTCAGCAACACAGTTTCACAGAGATGTGAAGACACTGTTTTCACATTAAGCTCACCTGCCTGCAATTTCTGTTTACCTTTGACTTCCTCTCCGTTCTCAGGAAACCTTCCATTGTTCTCTTTTTCAGTGCTTCCTGGTTTCAGAAAGCTGCCTTCAATCCATCTCCATGGGGTACTTCCTCACACCTCACTAATTAGCTGGTCTTTATTGTGTATCTTTCCTTCTCCCTCAGAAATGGAAGATGGAGGCAGGCTGGCTGAGCTTCCGCCTTCCTTCTGTCCTCACCCACCTTTTATGTAGTCTATAGCCAACCCACTGATGTTCTCTTTCCCATGGGAACCATTGCCTCGCGACCAGATTCACGTTCCCTCCTCTCCCTGAATCTGTGCCTACCTTAGATATCCAAGGAATTACCTGAACCAGAGTTCTGCAGGTTTCTCCAGTTTACACTTGACAATGTTTCTGCCTATTTCTTTTCTTAAGCCAAGCTTTTGCTTACCTCTAAGCCTTTAAAATGCAGTTAAACAGAACCAGAGAGTTTTAAAAGAGAGTTTTAGTGAGGTTCCCTTGCAGACACTGTTTTCTTCAACAGAAAATTGAGAAAATCAATTGATCTGCCTCTTCTTAGCATCCACCCCACCCTTCCCCAAAGATATAACAAAGGAAACAAGATGGACACCGACGGACTGCATGAAGCCCAGGCAGTTTCTAAAACCGAGGTAATATTTGCAATTTTCAAAGTCATAATAGGTCATTATGACCCAGAGAAGAGGTCCAGAAGTCCTTTTTTCAATGAGCTGTATTAACTGGCAAACAACCACCCCCAAAAAACAACACAAGTCCACAAAGCCTGCCATTTAAATCTACCTTTGCCAGTCATGACTCCTCAAGTCGATTCTGATTTCTATAAATTCTTTGTGCCTTGAGATTAGGCTTGGCATTTTTACAAAGAGACACTTTTAGAAAATGTCATCTCCGATTTCTCTGTGGCTAGAGAAAACAGGCTTGCTTGAAAAACACCACACACAAGCCCACCAGGAGTGGGAGACTCTGGACGCACGCTTGATGGAGCCATCACGATAAGACATACTGACTTAATGGGTTTTTGTATTTCACAAAGGGCAGAGAAATGAGAGTCAGCAGGGCCCAGAGGAGGGGGGCAGGACACCGCTGTCAGGCCGTCTAAGGACACATTCAAGGCTGGCTGCAGAACTCAGGAATTGGAGTCATATTTCTCTGGGGTCACCTCTTCTCTCCTGCAGGAGTTACTCAACCAGGGTTTCTCAACCTCAGTACTACTGACATTCGGGCCTGGATAACTCTTTGGTGTAGGGGGCTGTCTTACACACTGCAGGATGTTCATCATTGTCCCTGCCCTCTGCCCGCTAGATGCCAGCATCCTTACCCAGTGTGACAGTCAATAATGTCTCCAGGCAGTGCTACATGTCCCCAAGAGGAGGGCAGGGAAGGAAACAGAATTTCCTGGTTGAGAACTGCTGCTTTCAACTGAAATGCTCAGCTAAATAGCTAACTTTCTAAGGCAGGGCTACTATTAGCTAGTAGGCACACATTTAGTTGTTAAATGGCTTTTTAATTCATGCATCAAACAAAACTGGT